TCTGTGCTTGGGATCACACTAGTTGGTGCATTTGCAAGTTTTGAATGAACATGACTGACATTTTTGCAAAGCAAAGCTTTTATCTGGTGACATTTGACGTGGCAGTGTGCCCTCCTACTTTACTCGAGGCGTGCATTTGTAACCTAAGCAAAATATCACTTTAAGGTAAAAGGCAAAGCGGTATTCAAGTTGGTTGAACACTGGTATTTTGCTACATGCAAAATCAGTGATAACCTCTCTAAGAACACAGCATCACATGCTGCCTTTCTCCCTGAGCCCACCCTCAACTGAGACATTTTCACAGTGTATTATGGGCCAAAGTACAGCTAAATGTTGACTACTGTAGATGGCGAGTCCAAGTAAGGCCTATAAAGCTACAGTTGGAGTTTAATGTTCCCATGCTTGTGTAATAAATGTAACTGTAACCATGACATTATGTGGTGATGTTATTGTAAATAATATTCTCTTTTCACTACCTTGGTCTGCTCCAGCCCTGAGGTGTCCCACGGTGGGGGGGAGCAGTGCGGAGGAAGCTGTGTCTGTGTCTGGCCTCTCTGCTGGAGGTTCAGCTGCAGGGGGAATATTCCTGAGGAGACCAGTTTGATTTGGCCTTAACTGGATTATTGTATAAAATGCACAGTTATCATTGTGTAAAATAATTCATGACAGTTTGCTCTATAAAATATTTTGCAACACCACCTTGGCCTGAGGAAGCTGATGAAGTGGAGAAAGGGCTCAGGGGGTCGGTTCTGGGTGGCAGGTAGTCAGATGCACTGTTGTCTGAGAAACCTGACTCCAGCACTGGTGACAACTCGGGAACAGAAACATGAAAGACTTTTTAGCCAAAGAGTCCATCCATCCATTATTTGTATCCTTCACAGATCCTTTAAAGGGTCGCAGAAAACTGACAGTAAAGTGACTAACCTGTCGACACTTGAAGCTTTGTGGAATAACATTGTTTCTTCTACTCATTCCTTGAACACTAGATGTGGACGCAGAATACACACAATGAATGAATGACTTAATTTCATGTGATTGTGCAGTGAAAGACCTGGGTGATGCTGACAAAATCATATGTGTCAATACAAACCACACTTCAGTTCTACCTGTTCTGAGGTTGGCTCTCAAAAAGACTCAGCTGTGATGGAGAGCAGGGGCTCATTGGGAGTACCAGGGACTCATTTCTCTTATGCTTGGATCCTCCTTTACTGCTGGCAAGAACTGCTACTTTTGGAGGATCTGAAAAAGACAAACATTGTTTACTTAAATCATTTGCCATACTGAGGGACTGAGGAACATATCTACGTCATTATCTACACACACTAGACATATCGAGCAAATATTTAAGACAAGATAATCCTTTAGTCGTCCTACAGCGGGGAAATTTGCAACATTACAGCAGCAGAGGGATAGTGCAAACAAGAGGTAAACTGTATGACTATGTGATATATGTCTATGGAATATTTATAGAATATACAATGTAAGAATATACAATAATACACTCTAAATATACTTAAATACAAATACTAAATACAATATTAAATATATACCAATAGGATAATATTCTATTACCAGTATACATAAAACAAATGCACAAATTTGTTGAGGTTATACTTTTCAGAGGGCAGTCAGGTAATGTGGGAGGATAACAAGGTAATTTTCCATGTGCAAGGTCACTGAAGACCAAAACATAGTGAAGTTGGTTGGGACCGAAAACTATAAAGCTGACAGTTTCCTGTTAGACAAAGGTGAACTATTTCCTGTATCTGTCCTTGTGACAGGGAAGCCGAACCAGTCTGTTAGAGAGAGAGAGCTCAGCCGTCTGTCCAGTAGGTGGTGGAGAGGGTGCTCAGAATTATCTATAATGGATAACAGTTTGTTCAGTGTCCTCCTCACTACCACATATTTATACTATATTTTTTACATTGATAATATCATATGAGACTAGATAAATTTTAAGCATGGTTATATCGTAAGAGTCCTTTTCTGTTTTTAAAAGCTGCATTATAATAAAGCTATGTAATTATCTGAACTAGGCAGACTGTTTCAGCTACTTTTTTTTAAAGTACTGTGCCTGAGTGTGTCTGATACATCTCATTATAAAACACATTATGTGTACTATTATATTTTTACTAGCTTTAGGAAATTTAATTAGCTTCACATTAGGGAGGTGGTTCATTCTTTATTCTCCTGAAGTCATGTAATGTTTTCCCTTCAAGCTTCTTTAGTATGGTTTTTGATAACTGTTTACTCATAAAGTATCTTTCTGTACTAGTTGTTGCTTCTCACCTTTAATTTCTTTCTTAGCAGCAATCTGGTTGACGATAAACAGAGTCACTAGGTCCATACTCCCGGAGCTAGTTCCTCGAGGATCTGCTGGCAGAGCTACTCCCAAGTTCTTCAGCCTCTGTTGCATTTTTCTCTTTTCAAAGAACTCCTGAGGACAAAAAGAGCAACACCATAACATTTAGCCAGACATATTCTTATAAGACTATAGCTTTTATCTCGTGAAGCCATGAAAACTTTATTTCGCCTTCTTACCCTCTGCTTCTTTGCATCATTCTTCATAATAAACCTGTTCCTGCAATAAGAGCCGTTACGTTAGCATTACCTAGCTTAGCTAACGCTTGTAGGCTAACCTAAATATTAGCACGTCTAAAGTCGCTTACCTTGAACCCCCGACCCAGTTCATTTTCAACGGCTTTTAATTATCAGAGAAGTACTGATAATTTTAGTGTAGTGACTGAAAACAACAAAGCTATAACGGTAGCTAACGTGAGTAAGTTCAAAGTACACTGGTAGCTAGCTTATAGTTTAAGCTAGGTAGCTATCTAACGTTTACTATTGCTTAAAATGCGCGAGGACAAACCACTTATCCTTTCACGTGCCACTTATGACGTATGTTCACATTGTATTAATATGTTTTAATCACTTGTATTTAATGTTGCCTTAAGAATATATTTTTTCTTTATGCAGAATTACTGTGTGACAAGCAGTAAAAAAAATTCAACTTTATTGAACTAAATATTATAAATATTACAGTCAGACATCTAAAAATTAAATTAAAATAAATTACTGTTTATATGCTCATGGTGTATGGTGGATACACATTTTTATTATTATTATTAACATGTTAAAGAGCCTGCATTAGACTGAAAAATATCTATTTATAAAAACTTTTAAACAGGGCGATGGTATGGCAATTTTAGATTTCTGTATATGAAACTTATCGAGCAGGATCATGAGGTTTATCTTAAAACTCAATGAATTAACGATACATTCAAAATAAACAACATATTTTAGATTGATTTTCACAGGGTGACCAGTTTTCCTCGGAGTATGTATTTCCAAATCTGTCCAAAATTGAATAGAATGTGATCAACTAAAAAAACATACCACTGCTTTAGGTTGAAGTCAGTAAATCTTGACGCCATTGCATTAAAAAGGTGGAAATTCAGCAACATTTTAAAGTGAATCTCTTACCTTGTTAGAAACACTTAATTTGAAATCCTTCTGCCATACAGTGCCACATATTTGGGACTTCCATCACAGTTTCCTTCTTTGAGTGATTTATTTTTTTAAAGGAAAAACATAGTCATATATGGTTATCAGTGCACCGTTAAATACAGTAGATACAGTAGAGACTACCTTGTTACGTGCATCACGCAACCAATCGTCTTTTGGCCGGGGGCGCGATCAATGAAAGAGCGTAGGGCGGAAATAAGGAGCGACAAGTTAGCGGCAAAAACTACAATCGGTAAGGAAGTAGACGAGTTTACTTATTAAAAAATAAAACCATTAGTTTGAAAGCACTGTCAATCTACGTTTGCAGTAAGGGATCTTTATTTGTCAGAGGCGAGGGGTGTCTGGGGTTTGACATTGTGAAACCACAATTTTCATGTTTTCATTAAAGTCAGTGATAAGATTACTACAAAATATAGGCATTTAAAGCTGTATGCTGTTCTCTTAGGCCAAAGTAAGACACAGTCCCTCATTAGAGCTTTAAAATATATTTGATATGTCTCCTCCCCCTCTGCAGTTACACCTCCAAAACACTAGTTAGCAGTGGGGTGTTTGTACAGTGCTGTAAAGTTGAGTTGATTCAAAACCCACCCAAAACATACATTAAACATGGCTTAATAGCTACAGTTTCAGTTACAAGTACACAAATTGGCATCATTATAACTCGCAGCGTTCACAGACAAAACATTTGTCTTTTGCTCGACATATTTTCCCCACTTATTCAACATGCTAATGTTATTAGCACAAGCCTATGGCATGCTTAGCAGCTAGCAGACATTTCCTCTACTCATATGAAGCCAGGGACAACAGCAACATTTAACAAAGGTAACGTTACAAAATTTGGCTCCATTGCAACTCACAAGGTTCACCGGCAAAACAGCTGGCTTATACTAAACATGTTTTCCAAACAAATATAACATGCTAACGTCATTAGCACAAGCCTATGGCATTTTTCATTGTGTACATTAGCTTAGCATGTAGGAGACATTTCCTCTACTCATATGTAGCCAGAACCACCAGCAACATTTTTTGACTAAGGTAATGTTATGAAATGCGTCTCCACTACCACTCACAAGGTTCATTGTCAAAACACCTGTCTTATACTTAACACATCTTCCATACAACTACAACATGCTAACGTTATTAGCACAAGCTTATGGCATTTTACAATGTAACAATTAGCTTAGCGGCTAGCAGATAATTTCCTTCACTTGTATGAAGCCAGGGACAACAGCGACATTTAACAAAAGTAATGTTACAAAATTTTGGCTCCATTACAACTCACAAGGTTCACCAACAAAACAACTGTCTTATACCAAACACCTTTTCCCAAACACATACAAGATGCTAATGTTATTAGCACAAGCTTATGGCATTTTACATTGTAACAATTAGCCTAGCGACTAGCAGAGATTTCCTCTACTCATATGAAGCCAGGGTAAATAACACACAAGACTTAAAAGGATGTTTGTGGGGGCTTTATTATCTTCACACTTTATTGTTTCTTTTCTGTGATATAAGGCAAGTAAATAGGTATAGATTTGATGCAGTAGTATATATCCAGTCCCTAAGGGAAGTTGAACTTGAGTTTTTATTTTGACAGCTACAAACCGGAAGTAGAATGACTGTATGTTGTCTTGCTTGACGCTGGTACAGGAAAAAGAGCAGGATGTAGCGGTACATGATGTATCGGGCTCGCTTCACATCAATCCAACCACCACAAGTCCTTCTGTGTATCTATGTCGACGCGGTGAGTCGGGTTTGGGGGATGGGTGTTGTACGGATCGTCAGCAGAGACGACTAACGTTTGAAAAATGTCCAACATCCTCGATGCGGCGTCCAAAGTAAAATGGGACCGCACGGCTGCGGCGAAGCGAGCCGTGTTCCTTGCGGCTGCCGCTTATGGTGTCAAAACACTGTACCCCATCATCTGCAAGCAGCTCAGCAAAAACAAAGATCCCAGGAATAAAGGGTCAAAGGCGGAAAACGGGTCCGCCTGTTCGGTACAAACACGGATATGTGCTGCGGATCTGAAGAAGACATCCCCCGGGGTAAATGCGGAATTTTTCAAGCAGATCCTCGAACTTGGTAAAATCCTCTTCCCCAAGCTCGTGTCCAGAGAGCTGGGTTTGCTCTCCTTGCACTCGGTGGCGCTCATATCCAGGACGTTTCTGTCTATTTACGTGGCCAGCTTGGACGGAAAGATAGTGAAAACGATAGTGGAGAAGGAGCCCAGGAGCTTCATCATTCAGCTGATGAAATGGCTCCTCATTGCCATCCCGGCCACGTTCGTCAACAGCGCCATCCGGTACCTGGAGTGCAAACTGGCTCTGGCCTTCCGCACCCGGCTGGTGAACCATGCCTACCGGACCTACTTCACCGATCAGACCTACTACAGAGTCAGCAACATGGACGGGAGGCTCGCCAACCCGGACCAGTCTCTCACTGAGGATGTAATGATGTTCTCCCAGTCTGTGGCCCACCTCTACTCCAACCTCACCAAGCCCATCCTGGACGTGATGCTCACCTCCTACACGCTCATACAGACCGCCAGGTCCAGGGGGGCCAACGCCAGTGGGCCCACCCTGCTGGCCGGCCTGGTGGTCTTTGCCACAGCTAAGGTCCTGCGTGCCTGCTCGCCTAAATTTGGCAAGCTGGTGGCCGAGGAGGCTCATAGGAAAGGCTACCTGCGCTATGTACACTCCAGGATCATTGCGAATGCTGAGGAGATAGCTTTCTACAGGGGACACAAGGTATGCAGGCCTGGATGTGTACAATGTAGAGGTTGCCTTTGTTGTGGCAGACATGCAGGCGATAATATAGTCTTAATTCAATTGTGATCACTCAGAATAGAAAACAGCTAAAGCAAATCCATATTTTCCATTAACAGATCATTAATAGACCACATGCTAGAATGTTTCTCAGAATGACATACAGTCTGAATGTCCACCATTACATTCACTGCACTGGTGGACATATTAGACAGATATAAACATATAAAACTCAATTTTGTTTTCTTCATACTCCATACCAGTCTCTGCATTCCTAAAATCCACTTATAAACATGTAATATGAGATTATTAACCACATCTAATAGCAAAGTTCATATAGTGTCGTAACAAGTGTACATAACTGTAATCAGATTGAGAATTACACACAAGTTCATTCAGTGCATCTTAAAGATCAGATTAAAGGGGAGCAACACTTAAATTAAGAATTCCAGTATGTTATGTCCATGGTCTAGGAAAGTTCAATTAGTATTTGTGAACATGAGCTACTCTCTCTCAAAGCCAGAATGCAGGGAAGTAAGTCTCAAACATGTCAAAAAGTCTGGAGCTGCTCCATTGACAATGAATGGGGGCCAGATTTTTGTGGACCCAAATCTTTTTTTTTTTTTTTTTTTTGACCTAAATGAGCTATATTATATAGACCGATTCACAGTGTTTATTTACACTAACTTCTGGGTAGAAAACCCTCACATTACGTACATTAAATAAAACAGTGCTGAGCAAGCGCTGCCTCAGTTGGTTAGTTTTTAGCCACCTAAAAAAAAGGCCAGCCAAAAAAATCAATATCAATTCAAGCTTACATTATATTTAGAATATTAAATTTCACCGCTTCACCTTGCTGTCAGACTCCCTTTTCTTATGTCGAAGCCACCAGACTCCATTGACAAAAACAGTCATTTTATGTAGCAGAACACTGAAGTTGCTTGTCTACCACAGTGTCCAACCGTTAGTGTGGAATATAAAGCAGAGCAAATATTAAATTATATTATGCAGTTACACTGATATTAGTTTTTTTTTTAGATGACTAAAATACTTTTTGCTGTTTGCTTCCACAGCAGTACATTGCTTAGCTTCTGTGCCAGTAGCTTTTATTTATCAGATGCTAGCAAAGCAACACAGTACATGAAATAAGCACAGGAGAAAAGTCACGACAGGTTGGACCACTGTATTTTACAATATATCTCTAAACCTTAGAGCTACGGTTGAAATGACAATAGAAATAATTGCCAGTTGTGAACCAGGAAGTAATTAGTTGGCATGACATTATGGTGATTTGGTCAATGGAAGTGCCTATAACATCACAAATTTGAGTTTTAGCAGTCTGGTGTTTGGATTTAGGAGAGAGTTGTTCATGTTGACTAATATTTTCAGACTGTCTTAGACTACAGGAATAACATGTATGATTTTTCAAAAATGGGTGTAGCTCCCCTTTAATTGAATGGTCACTTCCCAATCAATATCCCCTCACAGAGTACAGGAAGTGCCTGTGCTGCTATATATTGTATTTTGCCGTCCTGTGCAGGTGGAGATGCGTCAGCTGCAGAAATGCTACCGGGCCCTGGCGGACCAGATGAACCTGATCCTGTCAAAGCGTCTCTGGTACATCATGATCGAGCAGTTCCTCATGAAGTACGTGTGGAGCGGCAGCGGGCTCGTCATGGTGGCCGTGCCCATCATCACCGCTACCGGCTTCGCTGACAACAGTAAGGACACCTTGAGGTGCTACGGTTTTGTCAGAGGGAACCACAGTTTGCTCGGTTGTGTCTGATAGTGTCTGGTGCGTAGCACAAGTGCCACTATAATAGTTGTTTGTCCATGACGTAAGCATGTTTCACAGTCCACATGATGCTCATTAGCACCTCCAAACCAACAGCTCCTGTTTCCAGTGGCTGATTAGCATGTGTGAGAACAGTAGCTGCCTCCCACGCTTCCCTGATGACATTTCAGTTGCATCAAAAATAAAGCAATAACTAAGACTCTGTTTGCTGCTGTGCTGTTGTCCCAGTGTCACTGCTGATATTTAAATAACTTATTTCCATGATATTCTAATGCTCGCAGGTGGAAGTGTGACATCACGCTCACAGTAGGCTCAAAGGAGAGATTGAGACACAGAATTTTAGTCAGAAAACAGAAGGCAAATGAAAACTTCATGAGTTTTGCTGCTTAAATAAACATGTCTGTAGCGTCACAGGTTCTCAAATCAGTTGCTTCACTCTCAACCCTGCCCACTGTCTTTCTTTCTTCCCTCTAGAAACAGCAGACGGCCACACGCAGGTGATGGTGAGCGAGAGGACAGAGGCTTTCACCACCGCCCGCAACCTCTTGGCTTCCGGAGCCGATGCCATCGAGAGGATCATGTCCTCCTACAAAGAGGTGAGGACACTGTATGCTGAAGTTAATGTAGCTTTGCAGGAGTGCAGTGTGTCTTTGTCTGAGAGCAACCACAGCTTTCTCTGTCTCTGATGAAGATGATTTCCTTGTGACATAATTTTCCCTCTTTTCAATTCAAAGTGCCCATAGTAATATTGAGAATGATTTTTAAATGATCTTCTACTGGCTCTCGCAGCTGAGAAACATGGAAATGCTGGATCATCTAATTCAGATTTATATAATGCTGTTCAGCTTTTCAACCGCTCTTTAATTGTGGCTGTTGTAAAAAACTATGAAGTGTGCCTTTATAACTGCATTGCACACTTGTTTCGTGCTGAAAACTGATACTTGACTAAAAAATAACTTAAACTTCATAAATTAATCTGCAGCTATTTATAAGTTAATCATCAAGCCATTTTCAAGCAAAAATTAGGCCTGCACAATATACAAAAAAGTCTTATTGCTATTTTTCTGACAGATATTACATGTTAATATGCTTATGCCTGCATACTAGTTGCATTAATACAGGTAGTTTCACATACTTAGAGGAAGTGGGAGACCCTTTTTGTGGAAGTAATGGGAAATGTGAATGTTGTTGTGGCGCCTGCAGTGAGTTGTTAATATGGCTGTTGCCAAAAAAAGGAGCAGCTGGATCACCCTAAAAAGTCATTTTCTTGACAAATGACATTATGTCTGCAGTATGAGCTGCAATTCAGTGGGAATGGTGATTTTTGTATTTAATCTTCACTGAAAAAAAAGTACTAAAATGGTGATAGGGATTTTTTTTTCTTAGGTCTGAACTTAACAAACATGTTCCCTTTCATCTGGGATATTATTTGTAAGCCGGAGCATCTCTGTAGCACCACAGTGTTTCATTTATAATGGTATATTGTGACACATTTTACCTTTATGAAATTATAATAACTTGGCCATATTGCGATTTTGAGAAGAGAAAAGAAGTTCTTATTTAAACACAAAAGTAGCTGATATTAGTCAGAGTTTAATACTATTTGTTATGTGCAAAAAGGCTGTCGCAATATTAAAGAGACAGTTCACCTCAAAATCAAAATTACATCGTTTCCTCTTACCTGTAGTGCTGTTTAACAATTTGGATTGTTTCAGTGTGAGTTGCTGAGTGTTGGAGATGTCTGCCTTCACTCTAATATCACGGAACTAGATACATTTGATAATCCACAGACCTTGTTGAGAGCAGTTTCATCTTGGAACTATTGTCTGTCTATTAAATTACACTCGCCCATGTATAATCACGCCAAAGGAAGTATGCATTTACTCGTGGACGAAAGGCTTGTGCTTGCGACATTGTAAATTGGCAGGTGTAATTCGGTAGAAAGAAAGTACACAACGTCAGTACACACAAAGTCACACCAAAACAATCTAGACTGATAAATAGCACAACAGTTAACAGATAAAATATGTACTTTTTGACTTTGGGGTGGACTGACCCTTTAATGTGTAGATGATCCTATTTTTTTCATTTTAGATGTTAATTTTGCATCTCATTTCTAAAGAATATGATTTGTCAGGCTTAGATATTCAGATTATAGACAGATGTATAAGTACGGGTGGTTGGGTCACTTCACTGGCCCGGGTTTGAAAAGACAAGTGGTGGAACAGATGGCTGGCTGGATGGATGAATGCACAGATTGGCAGAATGATTGACAGATGCGTACTGTATATCCACCTCTCTCTACTTTCCCCATGTGAAGCTTACCATGCATGCACAGGAATTTATTAGAGTCCTGACTGAAAAAGCAAAGGATCGCTGAATGAAAGGCCTCGTTCATCGAGGGCCAAATCCCTGATCTCTCGTTGCATTTTAATCCAAAAAAATAGCAAGACCCATTCATGCATTCTCTCTCTCAGGCTGCATTTTGAGGGCCATAAGAGGATTTGGCTGCAGCACACTTGTGGTGAAATTGCCGTACAGCTGGTTTCTGCTTGTCTTTATTTGGTCATATTCTCACCCGTGTTTTGGGATGTACTTTTCAAGCTAGTCAGTAATTTCCTCAGCAACATGCGTGGCATCTGAGCAAGGGTCAGGTGCGTGTCTTTATGTGCTTGTGGTGAAGAGGAGGATTCTAAACTCTTACAAGAGTGCTAGAGGGTTGTTGTCCTGCTTCCTTAAGTGTGAGTCACTCTTCTTAAAAAACCTCCCATTGTACCACTCCATTCACACCAGAATGTGCAGGGGCAGACACACACACACAAGCCCGATTTTATACACAGAAGGCTCAAACTGCTGCAAAATCTTAGAAAACACGAACCAGTTCCAAGAGAATAAATTTATTTCGGTCACGTGCGAATCTGTGGCAGAGCACACTGTCACGACTGTCATTTCATTGGGAGTCTTTGGCTCTGTACACGTCCCTGGAGGATACAAGTTTTAGCCTGCATTCATTTCTGGTGTGAGCGTGTGTTGAGTACAGTGCTGTCACATGTGCAGCAGCAAGCCCCTGCATGCAAGGCCAAGTGATGTGTGAGAGAGCGTGTGTGCAATATAAAAGGCAGCACGGATGGAGCACATTCCTGAGGCTGTATATCGTGCTCACGCCTCCAAACATTCTGCCTGTTTAATATGACAGTGTACACTGTGTGTACTTGTTTGTTGTGTAAGTGGTTAGGATCCCCTATGACAGGGTTACTCAACTTGCTTTGGCAGGGGGCCATTATAGCAAAGGACAGGAGGCCAGGGGCCAGTCACGGGAACCTTGCACAGGTCAGGTGTATACAGGGGCGTTTCTAGGATTTTAGGACATTCGGGGTTGCCTCTGTCCAACCTGGTCTCACTCCTATCTCGTCAAATACCGACACTTGGCCCATTAGAGTCAGACATTATCTCACAGAGGCACCCTTTAGCTGCAATATGAGACGAACCAAGCAGCGATATTTGTTGACATTCAGGGAGATTACAGAAGTATAAAGAGCAAGAAAGTCCGAATTGGCAGCAGGTCATTGAGGTGGAGGGGTCAAACAAACTATGGACTTTCACCCAGGAGCCGAATGTTCATATCCAGTGTGAAGCCAAAGTTGTATATTGAGCATGCTCAACGATGTATGTTACGTTATATTACATTAGTAACAAGCATACTTATTTTAAGCCTTTACACCTTGTAAACCTAACTACATGCGTACACCCTGGACAGGTCACCAGACTATCACAGGGCTGACACAAAGAGACAGACAACCATTCACACTCACATTCACATCTACGGGCAATTTAGAGTCACCAGTTAACCTGCATGTCTTTGGACTGTGGGAGGAAGCTGGAGTACCCAGAGAAAACCCACGCTGACACGGGGAGAACATGCAAACGCCGCACGTAAGGGCTCCCCAAACCAGGGTTTGAACCAGAAACCTTCTTGCTATGAGGTGACAATGCTAATCACTGCACTACAGGGTGGCTCGACTAAATTTAACGAGCAGAAACTGAACAGTTTTTTTTTAAATGAAATGATGCATGTAATGACCATTAACTGACACACTGTCCCAGAACATCTAAAACTGATGCAGGAGGGTACCTAGCGGGTCATATTTTGATGAGAGAGACCATTGGCTAAACATAAGGATTTGACAAGTTGAGAGTGAGAATGTGTTGCTCTGTCTGGGGTTTCAACTGGCACCTTATTTACTCTTTAAGTATGAAAAAAAAAATTCTCAGTGTATTTTTATTGTCAATTAGTAAATGGTTGGGGGGCCATCTGGCACCCTTTCGGGCCATAAGTTGAGTCATAAGGTAAGTCACTGCCCTGTGACATGTTTGTGCTCATACTAGTTCATTACTCATCTTGTAGACTTTCTTTTTGTTCTTCGAAGGCCTGCTCTATCCCCATCTGGGATTACGCTCTCCATATAAGCTTTCTGAGGTCATTATTTCTTTTTGTAACTACTTTGAAAGTCTATGGCACAGTGTGTAGTAGTTCTGCCAGAGCAATATCTTTCCGTAATCATGCATTCATTGGAGTAAATATCATATTTTGACTTTCCACATCCATGTGTTGCAGCCAAAATTTGTGACCATGCGGAGTATAAACATAGTATGTGTGCCAACTGGGCCTGTTCCAGTTGCAAAATATAATTTCAGAAAACTGGTGGTGTGTGCAGCACTACCTGGTTTGCCAAGACAAAGAAGATGGCAAAGTGTTGGAATTAAAATTAAATTAAATTAAATCAAATTAATTTGAAATTAATTAAAATGTTTCACAATTTGCCTTTATTGACAAGACGATTAAATGAAAAAATAATGGTTAAATTAATCAATAATGAAAATGATGGTAACTTGCAGCCCTACATTAGATGTCACAAAAACAAACTGAACAGAGAGACTTTTATAGGCATCAATTCCTCAAGATTGAATCTACTGCCACCCTCATCCCTCAGGTCACTGTAGGTCAGCCAGCAGTGAATCCTGGTGTTGTGTGTGTGCTGTGTCCAGAGCTCCTTCCTTCCCTTGGGGCTTAGCCTAGCTGTGAGTAATCCTCCATCTGTTGATCTGTCAGCCCTCACTTCTGCATCTCTTTCTCACTTTCCCTCGCAGCATGTGCTCAGACACTTTTTAGGCAAACGGGAGAGGACGTTGCTTTTATTCGTCTGATTTATTATGACTTTATTTACACAACAACAGGAATCAGTAGTATACACCTGCTCAGTACCTGAGTTGAGCACCTTTTTCGGGGCCCTAAGGTCTTGTGGGCTTCTGAGTCACAGTGGCATTTGTATTTGGTGCAAGACAAGTTTTGGCATGTTCAGCTGTTTGGTAGTTTTATGGCTCGTAATAGTGGTGGTGCAAGTGTAGTTTAGGTTGGAGGTTGGGTGTGGGAAGGATTGCACAGTTTTTGCATATTTTTTGTTTTTGCATGATGAGCACTAGCATGTGTCCGAGGGTTATCACGGATGGATCCTAATCTTTTCAGAATGGGTAGCGCACTAATTCTATTACTTTTTTCTATGTCTAAGTGAAGTGAAGCAGAGCAGTAGACAAAGTAGTGATTGAGATGGTTTGTGGGAGATAAAGATCACACAACAATCTTTATAAATCTATTGGGCAGCCAGCACAGAAGTCATTCCAATTAGGGGTGGCGGAAAAATTGGTACAGTATAGTATTGCGATATTTTTGTGTGGCAGTATCGTATAATCACAAAGTGCCAGGTATTGGTTTTTTTAATTATGTAAATTATAAATATGATAAAAACAAACAGTTGTGTGAAGCAGTTCATTCTGAAACCGCTTATCTTGTTGGGGGTTGTGGGAAACTGTGGGAGGAAGCCGGAGTACCCAGAGAAAACCCACACTGACACGGAGAGAACATGCACAGAAGGAAACCAGGAACCCTCTTGCTGTGAGGCGACAGTGCTAACCACTACACCACGTGCCATCTTGTGAAACAGTTATCAATGATAAAACAATTGTTTATTAAAGTGATGATCAAATAATTTCAGCAACACACTCATGAATCTGTTTTCAATAGCTGTTGAGATTCATCAAAGGGTGTGACTAACCCTGCTGTATCACTGTTTATTGTATCTTTAGATCTATGCTGAATAAAAATAGAAATATATCCCTGTCATAATTCCCAATTGTACCTTTTTTTTGGAGTTGTAAGGGGCCTTTTTCTGATTTAAAGGTGGGGATGTTCAGGAATAAATTATACAATATGACAAAAGTGACATGGTTTCTAAAGTAGAGAAGAGAGGCTATTGGCTATGTAGAGGCAGTGTGTTTCATAACTACTGGTCCTAATAGCCTACTACAATAAGCTGTTGAAGCTCTTTTAATCATATATATTTCCTTCACCATTTTACGTGAGGAGAACAATCAGTCCTGTACTCCTCTCTTATCTGTCCCTATCTTTTTTTCGCCACATTCCATCTGTGTTTTGGTTTCTTTCTTCTTTGAATTGGTCACATCTCTAAAGCCCCACATGGTATCCAGGAATTCCCAGAATTGGCGTTTGTTTTTTAATATAATCAAGCTGTGTCAACAGCCTGCACTGTCTCGCTGCAGGGTTCAGCACTAAAGTCAAAGAGAGAGGGTGATTTTTCTCTTCTTTTCCTCATGTCTTTATGAGTTTCAGATCGCTATGTTGCTTATAAAGATACTTGTTTTGTTCCTTATCCTTTTATACCTTAATGCATTTTGTGTGTATCTGGTGTTAACAGCATTTTGTGCTGTAAAAAACATTATAAGTGCTGTAGTTCATCTTCTAAATGTAATTACATTTGAATATATTCGGTTTGTGTTATTACTTTTTTATTCACCCATCTCTCAAAGACCATCGCATATTATGCACAGCAAGTTCTCAGATCTGTGTGTGTGTGTGTGTGTGTGTGTGTGTGTGTGTGTGTGTGTGTGTGTGTGTGTGTACTTACACTACACGCTGTCAACAAACACAGGAGAGCACACACAACTCAGAGATTATAACTGATCCTAGAGTATACAGTGTAGAAATACAGTTCAAACAACATATCCACAGCAGCAGCATCTGCTTTGCGACTTTGGTGTTAGCTACATATTTGTATTAAAACTGTCACACATTGTTTCACACACATTTACACACTCTAACAAAGTGATTTCCAACCTTTTTGATTTAATTGGTCCATTATGTTCAGCTATTTGAACTATTCATCAGCTATTTAAACTGTTAATTATAGGAGTAGGAGCTATCTATTTCAACCATTCATTACTTTTAGCTAACTGTTTAAACCGGGGACAATAGAAAAAGGTGTTCGGGATGAACAGAGGTCTTCCCTGGGATGCCTCAGGATAAAAGGATGCAGTGAACTCACCATTGACACATCAGAGGATGCACCCTATTCATTCCCTGATAATGTTACATTATGAATAACAAATCTGTGTTGACATCACCAGGATGAGAGCTTGTTCAAGTTAGCATTTAGCAGCCTAAACTGATATTAGAGAGGAAATTGTGATATATATATATATATATTAAAAAGGCTTTTTAAGCAGTTGCTCTTTTTAAAAAAAGATGTTTTTCATTTGAAAGTTATTGAATATATTTTTATGCTTAAGTTTGCACTAATTTAAAGGTAGTGTAGTGAAGGGCTTAACTGCTTTAAATCAGTTTGGTTTTTTATAATTAAGATTTCCTTGTTTACCTGGCAACAAAAACAAAATAAACAATATAAAAACATTGATATCAGCTATTGGTTAAGTTGTTATTTTGAAAATATATTGGTATGGTCCAAAAATTTAAAATTAGTGCATCCCTATATTTATTCACTACTTTTAGCTTAGCATTTCAACAATAGCCATCCTTTTTAGCAAACCATTTTAACTTATTTTCCTCCTTTCAATTTATCCATCACTTTTAGCTAACTCTTTACCATTTTCATTACTTTCAGCTAACTATTTCATATATTTGTACCTTTTAGCTAACTATTTCATATATCTGTAACGTTACCTTTAGCTAACTATTTTCATTACTTTTAGCTAACTTTTCATGTATCTGTACATTTTAGCTAATTAACCATTTTCATTACTTTTAGCTAACTATTTCATATATCTACCTTTTAGCTAACTAGCCTATTTCATATATCTGTACCTTTTAGCTAACTATTTTGACCATTTTCCTTACTTTTAGCTAACTTTTTCATATCTGTACCTTTTAGCTAACTATTTTTTTTACCATTTCCATTACTTTTAGCTAACTATTTCATATTTTGGTACCTTTTAGCTAACCATTTTCATTAATTTTAGCGAAATGTTTCAATTATTCTTATTACTTTAACTAACTGTTAAATATGTGTACCTTTTTAGCTAACTATTTTGACAATTTTCATTACTTAAAGCTAACTGTTTTAACAAAAATCTGTCCCTTGTAGTTAGCTATTTCAACCATTTCAATTTATCTTTTACTTTGAGCTATTTTAACAGTTTAGCCATTTAGTTTAGCTAACTATTTGGACTGTTAACTTTTAGTTATCTATTTCAGCCATCATTACTTCTAGCTTACTAACCTCTGCTTGCTTGCTACAGTAACTAGTTCACACACTTTCAATTGCAACATATTGTTTAGGTGTCACAGGTGACTCAATATTTGGATGCAGTCTATAGTCACATTGTAATTACTTTGTTTTTAAATGAGTGGATCTACAGTTTTCCTCCATACACCCTGGTATATGCATAAATCCCCCTGGTTGAGAATCACTATCAGCACATGACCATGACAGTGAACTTTTACAATCTGTTCCTCTCTTGGGTCACACTATCATGCCCCTGATCTTACCCAGTAGTGACCTTTGTGTGTTTGTTGTGACAGGTCACAGAGTTGGCAGGCTACACTGCACGGGTCCACAACATGTTTGTGGTGTTTGAGGACGTCCAGAGGGGCATTTACAAGCGCTCCTCTGTGTCAGCCACAACAGGAGCAGAGAAGAAGAGCAAGCCTGAGATGCACATAGATGGACCGCTGGAGATAAAGGGTATGCCTTTCCTTGCTATACACACACCTATGCTTCCCTCTGTATTAAAATAAACTGAAAGAGTGAAACAGGTAGTTACTGTACACACATGGTTACTGTTGCTATGTTGGGCAAACCTTTACCACTTCTGCTGTCTGGAGCATGGGGCAATTAATTAACCCAACTCAAGTCAAACGGTAGTGAGTTTCACATCCACTGTTTATTTTTAACCCTTTTTATCACTGTTGTATGACACAAAATAAACAGCAATCATTAGCAAACAACAGACTCTCTATCCAGATTTTCTGCATTTAGCCAAACCCTTATCTGGGGCAACTTGCATAAGCAGAATAAATTCCTTGATCACGAGCATGATATTACACGCATTCAGCAGTATCAAGGTCAGAGGTTGTAATCATTGCTCTTGTGTCCATTTGACCCAGAATGAATCTCCCATTGAGAGCACAGTTAATCTATGTGATGTGGTAAAGAGGGATTTTATTTATTTTTAACCCCACAATTCTGCTCTGTAAGTATTATCCCATGCACATCCATCCACAACCATGTTTATGCATCAACAAAGTCTAATCCTCAGTTTCTGGTCTTATACGCTCATTCTGTTTTTCTCTCTCTGTCTCTTTTGTCTCTTCAGGGGAAGTGATAGATGTGGACAACGGCATTGTGTGTGAGAATGTCCCAATTATTACACCGAATGGGGACGTAGTAGTGTCTTGCCTGAATGTCAAGGTGAGACAGCTCTACGCTATTCTCTTCTGAGCTTCTGTTTTCTCTTTCTGCTGTTTGCTTTGATAAACCAAATCTACTGGCACGGAAGCGAGGCAATGCACTGCGGTGGACGGGGCCACAGCAGAACGTATTTAAGCAACCTAAAAAGACCCACCTAAATTTTTTTTTATCATCTTAAGTGTACCCTAAATGTGGAATATTTTGTCTGCTTTATTTTACACACTAACCCAAAGGTCAGCAACCTTTACTATCAAAAGAGACATTTTTGGCCAAAAAAAATATGTCTGGAGCCGCAATACATAATTGTGCCTATTTTTGCCAAGTAGGTCATGCTCCTGGATCAACATCCCACATCGCGTTCCTTGACCAACATTGCAATCAACCAATCACAGCCCTCTGACATCATCAGTGTGCTGCTTCTGCGTTTCTTTAGAAATTCCTTTGGGCTTCCTCTCAGCTAGTCAATTTGAAGTTAATACAATTGAACAAAATCCTCAGTAACGTTGAACAAAAACTTATAAGCTACTGCGTGGTTAGCGAGTTGCTAACTAGGTGGACTATGTTCGTAAGTAAACTTGGCAATAGGCAAGAATGTTAGCAAGTTAGCTTGCTAAGTAGATGGGCTATGCTAACAAGTAAGATGTTCACTAGCAAAGAGTAAGGATAATAATATTTTTCAGGAGCAAAAACCTGCAGTTAGCACATTTTCCCTCCTTTTTGTCCATCTTGATCACTGTTAAAAATGGTTATGTTTATTCTTAGATGAGTTTTTCTGTTTTGAAGTTTTAAATAGGTTATTAAAAAGGAGGGAAAATGTATCCTTCGCAGGTCTTTGTAACTGCAAATAATCCTTACCCTTAATGTTAATGAACAATATTTGAGTCTATTGACAAGCTAACTTGTTAGCATAGCTTACCCTATTGTCAAGCTAGCTCACTAATATTCTCGTCTATTGACAAGTTTACTCATTAGCATAGCCAACCTTAGCACGCTAACTCGCTACCTCTGCAGTAGCTTGTAAGGTTTTGTTCAGTGTTGCTGAGAATTGAGTTTAATTGTACTAACCTTAATTTGGAAAACTAGCTTAGCTCTGAGGAAGCACAAAGGAATGTTGAAAGAGCCACAGGAGCAGCACACTGATGATGTCAGAGGGCTGTGATTGGTTGATTGCAATGTTGGTCCAGGGATGTGATGCAAGATGTTGATCCAGGATTATGTCCTACTTGGCAAAATCAAGTCGTGCCCTTACGATGTCGACACTGCCTATTAAATCTTAATTAGTCTATTGATATTCCCAATAGGTTTAAATGAGCATTAATTTAATTTAAAACAAAGTAGCTACTCAGCAGTGGGCTTTTTATTATAATTTGTCACTTAAATTTTGCAGCGTTAGTGGTGAGCACGAACAAATCGGTCCGCTCACTATGAAATTCTCCGTTTTCCTCCAAGACCTTTTTTTGTTTGGATTTGGAATCAATAGCTAGCCTCACTAAGGAGACTCAAGACTACTCGAGACTATTGATTGAGATGAGCCAAATTTTAATAAAAGGCACCAGGCCGTAGATGGTGACACACGTAGTTGACAAGATGTTAAAAAAAAATAAAAATAATAATTTTAATTAAGTGTATAGACTACACATATATACAATTGGAAAATTAAGAATTACTTTAGGGCTACAACAGTGACAAATTATAATTAAAATGCTAAAAAATCACTGTTAGGGAGGGGAGCCACTGGAGAAGGGCTAAAGAGTAGCATGTGGCTCCTGAGCTGCAGGTTGGCTTCCCCTGCACTACCCAATCAAGGCAGCAGTAGACTAGCAACTCCATAGTTCTGCAAAGTAAAATACTATTTTTGTCAATAGAGTCTGGTGGCTTTTAAATAGCAGCTTCAGTTCCTTGTCAAAAATGGTTGTGTGACACTTGTTGAAGAGGTGAATTTGTTCTAACTATAGCGTACACTTAATGTGATACTGATTTTTTTTTAAGGGGGCCTATTGGGCCAATTCATTTTATGTACCCGGAAGTCATTGTAACATTGAAAAAAGCACCAGATCATTTTATCTCTATTCCAGCGTCAAACTCCACTTATTACACATTAATGTTAACTGGTGTATTTGCAGGTGCTTAGTGTCCGATGTTCTCAGAAATCTTCCCCACCATCAAACTCTCTGAGGGGTTTTTAGGTCTATGGGGAGTTTATTAACCTTTATGAAAAATCCTCTGTGGTCTCATTAAGAAACAGATACATCTTTTGGGTGTTAACATGTTGCTTCCTCTAAGGCTTTTGGCTACTGTAATGAGCTGGAGAGGATATTATGGTGTTTAAAGTTATAGATCGGTGCTGACGAAGGAGTAAAATGTCACTTTTCAAACATTTGAGATGATTAGGACACTAACGGCCCTCTCTACTTACATATAACACACTGTGTGAAGTGTCCCGTATTTATGTTGCATTCACTGCATGTTCTGTTGAATTCAAACAGAGACAATGAAAGTCTGCTGATCCCACAGCCACGGGATTATTGAGTTAGCTTGATAATGTGACACAAGCCTGGCTTTCTTACAGTCCCTCAAAGATGGCTTTCAAATTGATTTAAAACTGTTGCCAGACCAACATGTCTTTCACGTCTTATAGGAGTTTTACCATGTGGTTGAAGCTTCAGTAAAAGATCAAAACCTCCCTGGCCTCATATTTTTTTAAAAAGAAAGAGTCTCCTGTAGGAGTATTGCTTTCAAATAGCGCTAGCAGCTCATGCTATCAAGCCTGGCTGTGAATGCTGATTTGAGGTCAATACACCTGCTGATATTAAGCTGGTTGATAGCAGGAGAATCTGTTAACGCTGTGCTCATGCCCAGAAGTTTATATATATAAATATCGTGCGCCAAATGTTCTCCTTCCTGTTTCTCGTATAAGTGAAACTGCTGTAGTGTGAGACTGATGGTTGAACTCAGAACATAACAGTTATTTCAGTATTTTTTTACCTTGCTGTTTCTTTTTTATTTTGATTGCTTTTGTACTTTATATGTTTTACTGCTGTTCTATCACACTTTGAGCTGCAGGCAAACTGGAGGCATTTAGTGACATCTCCAAACAGTTTGATCGGGCCTGCAGCGATAGCTCAGAATGATTCATTTTCAGAAGCAGAGAACAAAAAGGTAAAATACAGTGTATTCTGTTCAAAGCAAGGATCTCTGAGGAGAATTTTGCCTCTCTTCCTGTGTTGACATTTCAGATCTCCTGAGTGTAATGTTGAGTCTTATGCTGTCTATCAAACACCTACTGTTGCCTCCTATCTCTCCAGGGCTTTAAATCTTCATGTTTATAATTATTCTAAGGTTCAAATCATCTTGATAAATTCCCTCTCCATTTCAGGTAGAGGAGGGCATGCACCTATTGATCACGGGGCCTAATGGCTGTGGGAAAAGATCTCTGTTCAGGATCCTCAGCGGCTTGTGGCCTGTCTACGGCGGCCGCCTACACAAACCCTCTCCTGAACATATGTTCTACATCCCTCAGAGGTACACACACACACACAGAGTTTCACACATTACTTATTCCAATACCCCACAGCAGTGAGTTGTAACAAAACAACTAATGGGTGTGATCATTGTACCGGTGAACCCTACCAGTAATCTAATCCATTGTAACAGGACCTGTGTGTGTGTATGTGGCTGACGAAGAGAAACCAGAGCTCTGGTCACCGTGAAATATTTACCACCCAGACAAGGCTTGAAATACTTTCAATTACAGTAATTCCCTTGTCATATTTCTCTCAGCACGACAGTCATTTGACATTAACTGTAGTATTACACCCAGAAATAGAATGAATAGAAAGGACATTGAAGTGTTTGCTGTGGTCACTTGACTAGTTTAAAAGAAAATTTTGATTTTTGACAGCTGTTATGGTGACAACACACATCAGTGGGGACATAAAACATGTCACATTGACTAGTTTGAGAACTCTGTTTTGTTTCCTTACACCTATTGTCCTTAATAAATAGAAAAATACATCCGTACACTAATTCCTGCTTCTCTTTTCCACCGATCAAAGGCTAACGTTAGCTTAATTGCCTCATTAACTCATTGTAAAACACACTTAATTCAAACAAAATTGCGGTGGCAACGGTGCACATAAAAATGGCTGCCACCCTGATCATCCTGCTTTGTTTATTTGAATGGAAATCACCATTTTACTCTCATTCTGTTTCTGTGTTATTATCATTTTGATCGATTGTGATCTGTGAAAAACTCTCTATTGAATGATTAAAGGTAGATAGAATTATCCAAAGTGTCACCACAGGAATAAAATGTACCAGATATTTCAGGTGACAGAAAATTAGTTGCCTCCCATTTTGATGATCAGTTAATCCTCTAAGTCACTTGTCATGAAAAAAGCCAAACATTTGCGTCTTTGTGCTTTTCAAGTGTGAGGATTCTCTGCTTTTATTTGCCTTACAAACATCTTTGAGTCTTAAGGCTCATCAACAAGGTATGTTTTTTTTCTTAAAAGAAAGTTCCCGTCCACACAAACGTTGTTTTAAAAGAATCTCAGTCCACATGAAAACGTAAAAACACAACTACAGCGCTGTTAGAGCATGCCAAACCAACAGGTGGTGATATAACTGTAACCCTAAAGCCACCCAAAGAAGAAGAGGAAGATGTTGGCCAATCAGAAGTCTGAAAAAAAAGCCATTACCTGAAGGCTACCTGGAGCAGCGACCTCCATAGAACATTGTGATGCCTTTGTCCCTCAGTGTAGTGGAAGAGTAACTGTACATGTATGTGTACACATGTAAAAAGTTCTGTTAGCATGGTTAGAGCCAACGCTATTTTGGTCACATCTATTGCTCAAAACATTTCGTCATTTGTGACGCCTCACAAAGGAGATAACGCTGCACACTTTGAGGTTAAAAGCCAATAAATGGTCAATTTTTAGTGACGTAAAAAAACAGTTTTTAAATATACCCATGTACGTGTGGACAAGGCTTTTGACTGAACTTAATAAGCTATGTGACTATGCTACCTTGGGCTTTGGAAAATGTTGAAAGACATTTTCACTATGCTGACGTCTTATAGACATACTCTACTACTGACACCATACTATTGACAACTCATGAGGAAGATTGTGGTGTCAGTGCTCTCAATTCTTAAAAGCTAAGATAGCCGATTAATTCTCCAGAAAGGCAGCAGAAGGACTGAGACAAACCATCAAATGTAATCTTACCCAGGGATACTCAGAGCTGCAGACTCAGCTGACTCCCACCTGCAGAGCGGTGAATATTTTATACATAGGATGAGACGGGCCACCTGGCAGTTGTAAGAGAATCCAACACTCTTATCTTCAATAGACACAACAGAAGTTTAATGGGTGTCTTTCTCTTTTAGTTCTTGCTCTTAAACATGTCCCCTTTGTGCACATACACCCACTTTGTCACCTATGTCTGTTCTTCAGTGTCTGCAGCACTTCATAAATGACAGGGCAACAAAGGAACACTCAGTGGATAAGGTGTGTGTATGTGTGTGTGTGTTTCTCCAGGCCATACATGTCCATGGGTTCACTGCGGGATCAGGTGATCTACCCAGACTCGGGGGAGGACATGGCTGCCAGAGGCCTCAGTGACAAGGACCTGGAGGCCATCTTGGACATAGTCAACCTCAACCACATTGTCACCAGAGAGGGAGGTAGGACAGTGATAAATGTCACTTACTGAGATGTGGAGTGTTTCAAGTAAAAATAGGAGATGGAAGACTTTTGAAGAGTTTTCCAGCTACCTAGAAATCAGGTTACATCTCTGAGAGTATAAAGTCCATTTTTCCAGTATTTTGTTTATTGTTCAAATCGTAGCCTTGAAGGGATAATTTGGATTTTTTTGAATTTGGGATTTTATGGGGTACTTACTCATTGTCAGTGTACTTACAGTAGATGGCAGTCAGCATGCAGTGGCGACATGGAAATTAAGCCATGTACTCCTGTGAACGGGGGCAGCAAGAAAACATCTTTAAGCCACCTAAAAGAAGATCTGTATCATTTTGGGTTTGAGAGGGTATTTTTACCGCTTTACCGTTCCATCAGACAGCTCGTTCAGACAGCTTAGATTTCCCATCTGTGCTATCCTCAAACCAGACTCCATTAACAAAAACAGCAATTTTAACTCGCTGAACACAGGAGCTGCTGGTCTACCACTGCCTTGATCAGGTAGTTTGTTTGTTTTTGTGTGACTTTGGTGAATCTAAATTAACCCTTTTAAACACCAAAGTCACACAGTTACACAAACAAAATACCTATTCGAGGCAGTAGTAGACCAGCAGCTTCTGTGTTCAGCGATGTTAAATCACTGTTTTTCTCAGTGGAGTCTGGCTTTGACAAGAACGACATAACAGCTTAATTTCTCCGTCAGATATCGCTGTGTGACGCCAAGATACTTCAACTGATAATGAATTTTCTTAGATGGTTAAAATACGTCTGGTACTGACCCTGTCAGCAGCAGAAGATTTCTTAGCTTCCATGTCGAGCTCCTGCCTGTTGCTCCAAACTGGAGCATGTGGACTGACATCTACTGTATGCAACACACTGGCTATGGATAAATACCTCATACAACTTCATACAAAATCCAGACTATCCCTTTAGGTAAAGGGCAATTTCCCCATACAATGTATTTTGTTGACAAATGTGATCCAGTTGTCCTTTGATGGCAGGTTTGCAGGCTTCTTCTGTGTGATGGCGTTCTTGCTCACAACCCAAAGTATTACATTTTGGGCCTGAGATTGTGCGGGATTTTGCCCAGGTATAATTTGCCAAAACAGCAATCATCTTCTCCTCGGATTAAAAGGATTTATGGGCAGTCCCAAAATGTATGAAAGTGGCCTGCCATTGGTTTACCATGCTGCCTCCAGCACTTATTCCATCCCTGATCACCCTGCTGTATAAATTTCAATTTCAGAGTCACAAAATATTATGTTCTTTTAGCAGAACTGGCGCCAGGATCTTGAGTTGGTAGTCTGAGCCTGAATCTCCCAATTATGATTCAGATATCTCCAGGCCTGATTCCCTCTCCTATTTCTTAAATCTACACAAACTAGACAAACTAACCATCAAACAAAGTAGATAAAACAACTTTAAACTGGACAGAATTGATTATATAACTGGACAGAACTGGACAAATGAACCATCAGAGAAAAACAACCATTCCCTAGATGAAATTAATAACCGTCATCTCGACAAAACAAGCATCAGACAAGCAGAACAAATAACCGTAAGACATACCAACCAAACAAGATGAAATAGCAACTAGCCACTGCAACAAATCTGAGTCAACTTGACAGTTTAGTCCTGACAGTGGGGGTTCTTTTTCTTTCAGTACGAACCATTCTAAATTTTGACTTTCAGATCATTTAAACGTTTGCAAAATTTGCACATTGTACCTGCCATGCAGGTTTTCCTGGTGTTTTCATATCCAACAGACTCAGCTATGTATGTGTGTGCCAGCCAGAAGCTTGATCTCATGCACTAGGGTATTACTGGAATTGCCCAAACCTGAGTCTGTGGCTAATTGGCAGTCACTCTCCTCTCATCACCAAACAAACTAGCCTATTGTTGTGAACCAATTACTGTACAAAGCTGAAAGCTGCAAGAGGGTTTAATGTATGAATTGCCGCACTGTGAAAGTGTTACGCAAGGTCTTGATCGCGCAATGCAAATGACCATATGCAGTCACGGATCGCCAGTCATGGATGTTGGCACACATACGAGATAACTGCAGAGAATTTACTGTGAGGTCTTTGAAAATGTCACAGGAAAATGTGTGAGTGTTTCACAGTGAAGCTAGACTGCTGAAACCTTTAAGTAAACATCATATTCACATATGTCTTCATTTGTGCCCAGGCTGGGATGCTGAGCTGGACTGGAAGGACGTGCTGTCAGGAGGCGAGAAGCAGAGGATGGGCATGGCTCGCATGTTCTACCACAAGTAAGAAGGAACAGCGTCACTGTTGTCTGTCATTAGTCATCAGGACAGTTATACACATGTGACACACCTGGAGGGCAAACTTTGCCTGACACAAACAATAAGCTATTTTTAGCCATGCTAGCGGCACAGTGTGTTTAGTAATTATGAGCTAATGTTGGCACGCTAACATTCTAAACTGAGGCGGTGAGCATGGTAAACATTGTAGCATGTTAGCATTGTCATTGTGAGCATTTTGCCAGTATTTTAGCAGTGTCAGCTGTTACTCACTGGATGTATAGTAGTTATTATTATAACAGTTCCCCCTGTGTGTATCAGGCCTAAATACGCACTGTTGGATGAGTGTACGAGCGCTGTGAGCATCGACGTGGAGGGAAAGATATTCCAGGCTGCGAAGGATGCCGGCATCTCTCTGCTCTCCATCACACACAGACCCTCCCTGTGGTGAGTCACACCCCATACAACAGTTCCTCGTGTATTCAGTAAAAGAGAAATTGAATTAAAATGTCTCCAGAAGTGTGCATGAGAGTAACTCAGGTTTTTGTGAATTATGGTTTATTCGTGTTTAAACTAGGGCTGGGCAATGTAGCAATTATACTTGATGTACCGTGTCTTGTTCCACACAGGATGTCTAAAATGACTACATTGGCAACACTGAGTATTAATTTTCACATCTATGTTTTTTAAGTTACCGGTATAAGTCTCGCTTTGGCATTTCGGTTCTTAAGATTCAGTTTTCAAATAGACTCACAAACATGATACATAAAACACACTCCCCCGCCCATCCACCCCACTCTCCTGGAGGATTGTGTGTGAGTAGGCGAGGTGTCTGTTTTTGTATCTGACAGGGCTCCAGACTGCTACTGTTTAGTCACATTTTGTGACCATGGAGCACCAGTGTGACCTGTAAATATTGTTAATATATGAACTGGAGAGCTGTTAGTTTGTTTCCTGCTTACAGTGAGTAAATCCTCATGTTTAATGGTTTAATTTTCCACTAACATCTAACTGTTGACCAGAAGCTTCAAGTTCTCACCAAATAATCAACACTTAGGCCAAACAAGCCACGTGCTTCATAATAAAAACACCAGTGGTTCCACTTTTATTTATTAAATTCTATCAGTACTTCTTTAACTTTGTTGTAACAATACTGTATTTATTTTTTATTGTAACAGTACTGTGTTTAACTTTATTGTAACAGTACTGTATTTAACTTTATTGTAACACTACTTTTTAACTTTATTGTAACAGTACTATGTTTAACTTTATTGTAACAGTACTGTATTTAACTTTATTGTAGCAGTACTGTATTTAACTTTATTGTAACAGTATTGTGTTTAACATTATTGTAACAGTACTATGTTTAACTTTATTGTAACAGTACTGTATTTAACTTTATTGTAGCAGTACTGTATTTAACTTTATTGTAACAGTATTGTGTTTAACATTATTGTAACGGAACTGTATTTAATTTTATTGTAACAGTACTGTGTTTAACTTTATTGTAACAGTACTGTATTTAACTTTATTGTAACAGTACTGTATTTAACTTTATTGTAACAGTACTGTGTTTAACATTATTGTAACAGTACTGTATTTAACTTTATTGTAACAGTACTGTATTTAACTTTATTGTAACAGTACTGTGTTTAACTTTATTGTAACAGTACTGTATTTAACTTTATTGTAACAGTACTGTATTTAACTTTATTGTAACAGTACTGTGTTTAACATTATTGTAACAGTACTGTATTTAACTTTATTGTAACAGTACTGTATTTAACTTTATTGTAACAGTACTTTTTTAACTTTATTGTAACAGTACTGTGTTTAACTTTATTGTAACGGTACTGTATATAACTTTATTACAACAGTACTTTATTTAACTTTATTGTAACAGTACTATATAAAAATATTAGTACTATATGAAAATTATTTTATATAACTTTATTATAACAATATTTAACCTTACTGTAAAGTTGTTTTATTTAACTTAATTAAAACAGTACCTTATTTATTAGGTTAGTATTTAGTAGTCTACATTAGTTTAGAGGAGACTTAAAAAAAAAAACATGATATAAAGCATGTATCCCAATAAAACCTAAACATATAGCAATATAACTTATAGGCTATATTGTCCATCCATAGTTTCAACTCGTCATGAAGTTGTAAATTCTATGTACACCCTGGATTAAGAAATGTGAAACTGCTAAAAGACACACGTTGGTCCCTCTCTGACTTTAAACCGACTTTAAACCCTTCCTCCCCGCCTTCAGGAAGTACCACACCCACCTGCTCCAGTTCGACGGGGAGGGAGGCTGGCGCTTTGAGCAGCTGGACACAGCGACGCGCCTCTCCCTCACCGAGGAGAAACAGCGGCTGGAGGCCCAGCTGGCCGGCATTCCCGAGATGCAGCATCGCCTCAACGAGCTCTGCAAGATCCTGGGAGACGACTCTGTCCTCAAAACAGCCGAGGAGTGAGACAGGGAGGGGAGGAGGCCCGGAGGGGAAAAGAGTCAAAGGGGAGAAGGAGGAGAGGAAGCTGGGGGAGGAGGAGAAGAGAGTGTGGGAGACAAACAGGCAGTGAAAGAAAAAGAGATCTGTCTGGGGATTGTTAGTTTCTTTTTTTCAGGCTTAGATTTTTTTATTTTGCTGCGAGCCTCTTTGGTTAAAGCGAGAGAGCTCTTAATGCCAGCCAGTCTCTCAGCTCTCCTTCCTCCTCTCCCTCCTCTTCTAATCTCTCCTTTGCCCTACTCCAACCCGAGAAGATGAGGGGAGGAGACTGAAGTGGATTCACAAGTATTATTCCCTTTTCTTACGCACATCGACTGCATACTCAGCTGTAGATTTTACATGTTTGGTTTTAGCATACATCATTTTCAGGATCAACTAAGTTGCCACAGATCAACGTGGCAAAACAGAGAAATCCAAATTAACCAGGGTAATTTATTTGTTTGTTTTATAGCACTTTACTCTGCTTTTAGAGGGCTGTTTCTGTTTGTCGTGCTAGCTCACAGTGAAATACAGTGATAGCTGCGTTTTAGCTGGAAAACTAATGTAGAGCCACTTGATAATGTCCAAAGCAGTATTCCACACCCAGTGCACTGGGTCGTGCAGGATCCACATTTGTCTAATTTAGCGGTAGATTTTAGTTTTTACTGAACTGAACGTGACCTCTTAGTTTGGAGAGGTCAAAAGAGAATATTTTTCAAGATGTCACAATATGCCTTTGTTTAATTTTGTGTATCTAGCCGCAGTACAATCCCTTTCCTCATACCTCGTCCTAGTCATTGTTAGGTCATTTCACATCCTTGAACCACTGATATAGGCTCAGATGCAGACTCACATGTGGCTAGCGAAGAAGAAGAGCCCATCTGGGGTCTATTATTAGAGTGATTAGTGACGCAGGTCTGACTCCAAAACTATAGGTTTCTGGTTTATTGAACAAACACAATGAGCTTAAGAGGCCCTGTTCAAAGGAAGAGCAGCAAAGAGCAAGCTGACCCTGGTAGTCTGGTCTGTAAATAGTCACACACATGTAGACGGTACGTGGATGAGCAGGCGGAAATTCACGCCATAAAACTGTCAGGTACACGTACACACTGTCCACATGTTGAAGCTCTCCCCTGTGTTGACACAAAACACACTGGTGTGTCTGCAGTGCGTCAGATGTCTGCTGGGACTCTGCTGTGTCAGCAGTGCTCTGTGGCTCCCTTTGAGCCTGTGTAAGTGAACGTTATTATGTGATGGTCCTGGAAAATGAGCTCGTTACATTATGCTTATTTAATTAAAGTGGAAACAGACAAGTTTTTTGCCCCCCAGTGTTTGCAAGTGGTAGTGTTGTTCATGCTGCTGTCACATTCAGAGTGTTTCCGCAGTTACTTCGGCTGTTCCACCATCCACCATAGAGTGCTTAAGGAATGATGTTTTTTGTTGTTTTTGTAGGACAGCCTGGAAGTTAGCATTGCTCTCGTTCTTTCAACAAAAAGCTAATGGGATTTTTCAATTGGATTTTGGATTATTATTGTTTTTGTTGTTTACACATTTTGTTTAAAAGGATAATCTCAACCAATGAACACCACTTTTGTGATTTTTGAAGCGTAAATGCGGTGACCAGAGGTAAAAAGCTAATGTTAGGCTATAAACAAACTACACCACAGTTGCATGACCACACCGAGGCCACAAATCCGTGTTTTGCGTGATGACATTTTGTCGTCTCATTTAGCCACTTGTGAGCAGATGTCTTTTTTAAGACACGTAAAACGTTTAAAATTCTGAAGTGGGGTATTTACTGATGTATTTTATGTCGTGGAACAAAACACTGAAGTCTCTTAAGCTTGTGTTAACCACAGACCTTATTTTGGGCATCTAACAAAAACCCATTTAAAAAAAGCCACTGAGTTCGAGACAAGGGAACAGGAAGTGCAAAAATGCTAACCCATGTCCAGGTTTTGGCTACTGGGATAGTAACAATGGATGTATAAAGAGTACATACATAAAAACATACATGAAAATACCTGTATCTCCCGCATCGTGTGGCCCGTCGAGCCATCGGGTCCCCTCACTTAATCACCTCTGAATTTGGCTGTAAGTAGTTTTAGTACTTTTAGGACATTATCATCCAAATAAAGGGCTATTTAAGTCTTCATAGCAGGAAGCTGATGTACCATGTACATGTTCCACTGTGTTACAGACGTCAGTCTATGGGAAAATGTCAGTCTATGGGAAAAGTAATTTTGGACCCCATGGCATCAGGTGTAGAACCCGGAAGTTGTAATTACATGGTTTGGCCACTATGTCTTGATAGTAACTTCAACACGTACAGGCAGACCTTTTTAATATCACTTTAAATCACCATCAATAAGTGTTTCCCTCCTATTAAAATGATGTTCCTTGTAGCGCCTACATCAAAAATTCTGAGAGTGACATTACTAAAAAACGAACTGTCCAATCTGAATTTTAGACAGTTTTATTAACAAATGTGTATTTAGGATATTTTAAGACTTTTTAAAGACCTATGGCCACCCTATGTAAGGAACTTATATTTGGTTGATGCACTTCTTTTGTGCCGAAAATTGGGTCTTCATTCTCCTGGGAGATTGTACCCAATGGCAGACGAAATTGCATATCGAAAGTGAGGCTTATAGGAAACCAGTCTGACCACTGATGATGTCATTATTCTATCGCCATTACATTGTGCTCAATCAAAATGATAGACATTTACTTCCTGATAATGAGTTAAAGCAAAAAACTTGTCTGTTTCCACTTTAAATACACTTCATTTAAATCTGATTTTAGATGACACTCCACATATTATTATGTTTCAAAATATGAGGCCTTATTGGATTATACCTAATTGTGTGTATGACATAATAGGGCTGATAAACAGTAGTAGAAAGGTCAGAGGTCAAGCTGGTTTATAGATCACTGGAGCTGGTTGGGATTTCACTTTTGGCTCGAGGACACTGACTAGCTGGAACAAAACTCGACAGGAACAAAATTTGATTGATTGTTTTCCCTGATTTAGCTTCTTTAGCTTTGTTACCAACAACTTACCTGAAGTTGTGATACTGTGAAGTTATTGGTCTGTTACATCATTTATGAAAAGGTCCTAAACTCTGTGTTCTTACGTGGTGGTTCTAAGCTATGGTCGTGGCTGCTTTTACAGTGTGTTCCTTCTGTGGTTCAGACCTGTGTTGTTGCTCACTGCATCCAGCTTTAAGAGTCCAAGGAAAAGTAACTGATGCTATTCTGCCTCCCAGATTGTACAGAATACAGGAGAGGGGATCAGGGGTGTTTGTGCCATTCATTCATGGTCTTTCAGATTTCCCCATAGGTACACAGAGCTATATGTTTGAGGATTCATACATTCAATTGGGCCTTAAGCTCACCAAGCAATAGAAATTATAACTATACATGAAGGGGGTCACTTGGAGTGATAAACACACAGAGGTATTATCTCTCTGTGCTGCAGTCTCCCTGTATGGAGGCCCATTGCAGCCAATGTGATGCAAAAAAAGAAAGATCCTATGAGTCATTTAATGACTTATTTTCTCAAAATAATGAGAAACTTTCTTAAAATAATGAGCTTATATGTCGACAAAATGACTTAATATCTCAAAATAATTAGAAACTTTCTCGTGAGAAATGAGAAACATTATCAAAATGTCAAGCTGATATGTCAAAATGAGTTAGTATCTCAAAATTCTGACTTAGTTTCTCAACATTATGAGCTAACATGTCAAAATAATGACTTTATATCTTAAAATAATGAGTTAATATCTCAAAATATGAGATTTCTCAAAATAATGAGCTAATATGTCAAAATAATAGTTTCTCGAAATAATGACTTATTTTCTCAAAATAATTAGAAACTTTCTCAAAATATTGGGTTAATATGTCAAAATAGAGAGTTAGTATCACAAAATATGAGAAACTATCAAAATACTCAGCTAATATGTCAAAATAATGAGTTAATTTCTCAAAACAATGAGAAATGTTCTTAAAATAATGAGTTAGTATCTCAAAATATGAGAAACTTTCTCAAAATAACGAGCCAATATCTCAAAATAAAGACTTGGCTTCTCAAAGTAATAAGAAACTTTCTTAAAATGATGAGAAACTTCCTGAAAATAACTCAGTATGTCAAAATAGTGAGTTAGTAACTCAAAATGATGAGACATTTTCTCAAAACAATGACCCAGTTGTCTAAAAATTATGACTTGGTGTCTCAAAATAATGAGCAACTCTGTCAATATTTTGACTCACCATATGTCAGGATTAATCAAATTAGTAAAGTTTCTCCTTATTTTGAGAAAACTTCAAATAATGACTTACAGGATCTTTTTGTTTTATCATCACATTGGCGGCAAAGGGCTTCAGTACCCCTCAGCCCTATGAAGCTTTGCAGCAAAGTTTCATTCATTGAGTTGTTTTGAGTATTTTGGTTTGCTTTCACCAGTAGTACAGATTATAACTGCATTTGAAAAGCCCAAAAAACAGCACCCAGAAACCTTTGTGGTTTTTTTGTGCTGTGTGAGACAGACATTCCCCTCATTTAAAGCCCCTTTACTAAGTGACAGAACCACTAAATATGTGTAAGCCCTTCAGAAACATGAATATCGTGAAATCTGAATGTATTTGAATGAGTGGTCCAGATGCCACCACAAACAGGAGAATCACTGGATGTCTGGATGTTATTCTCACACTGACTGTACCGCACACAGGACTCCATCCATGTCTCTTTGAAGCTTGTGTGACTGGTACGATGTTCTCATAATATCACTGGTTAGAGCACCACTATTCTGTTATTATACCTCTGTTTGGTCCAACATGTCTGTGTTACAAAGAACAGACAATCAGTCGCATCATCAGCAGAATACAAACAAGTGCACTGCTATATTTTACGTACACATCGGCTTGTTGTCTGCAAAGAGAATATTATCAACTCCCTCAGGCCTTTTGTTAGGCTGAGCTGTGGCTGCATCCACGACGTCTAAAAGTGCAACATCTTTGCTCCAATGAGACTTCAAATCTTTGCA